AATTAATAGAATTTGTCTGATTCCAAGATTCAATTAATAAAATTTTAAACACCTTAACTATTGTGCCCTCTCACGTTTTCTTTCTCTAAAAACTATTAATAATTATCCTTGTAAAATTTAACTTCACTAGTCCCATCAAACACTAAGTGTTTTTGTTACCAACTAATATTTGTTTAGAATTTAACTCTAAAAAGATGATGATTATCTTGCAATTAAATAGATAAAGGTTTCAAATGTTTTTCACATACGTTGCTATTAAGATCTGAAGGATGAGACAAAGATAAGGCTTTCAAGTGTAAAACATTAAAAAAAAATGTTGAAGTTTATGATAAGAAAAAAGTAATGGAAAGCACACAAACAAAAGTTCAAATATAGACAAAATATAGAGCTAAATAAAATTAATTACGAATATAGTACCTAAATAAAAATAGTAATAATTAAAATAGAAAACGCGCCGTACTCATAACTATCAACATAACGTTGTCAACGACACCATTGACTCAGGAAATTCAAGTTCTCGTGATGATTTGGTCCCATCATTAAAGCCATTCAATTTTTTCTTTAGCATATCAGCTTTATTTATTTATTTGATGGAAATGGATTCAAATTGCATTAATAAACAGTAAGTTACTTGCAAAAGAAATTGTCATGTCCATGGCTGTCATTGAGAAATATGTGCCATTAGTGGTCTATAGTCTAAAGCATGCGCCGAAAACTCTTTAGAAAGAACTGCTCGTTCTATTTGGCAATTCTTGCACCATCACGCCAGTATATAAATGACTGCCGACGCTCTGTTTCATCTTTCGTTCACTTTGGCCAGTAAGCAAAGGGAGGCAAGGAACTTCCGATATTTTTCCAGCAGGTGCAGTGTATGAGGGAATTAATGAGGTGCTGTGTCATTAAAAAATAATTAGTGCATGGTTTTTCTTGATTTTAGAAGAGACAAGTGATGATTAATGAGTTAATATTTTTTACAAGAACAAAACACCTTTTATTCTGTAACTTTCCACGAAGTTTGTAAATATTTTATTTTATTCATAATATTACGCTCCTTAATCTATCAATACAAAGCCTAAAACTCTCACAATAGACAAGTTAAAATCACAAAATTTAATGAGGTGATTGAGATTAATTAATCCACAAAGTGATTGCTGTTTGCCCTCACGTCTTGGGCTGGGCTGCATGGCCAGGTGATGATCATCAGGCTTTCTATTATAAAAGGTATTGTGAACAAATGTGATTAATCACTATTATTAGAGAAACAAAAGCAATCAAATGCATGAACAAAATCACTCAACAACCATTTACGTACCCAAAAAGAAAGAAAGGAAATTGTCATGTCCATGGATTTCATGAGATTGAGTGTATTTAGACTAGAAAAGGTGGAAAACGAAGAAAAATATGTGCCATTAGTGGTCCAAGTCTAACGTCAAGCATGCATCAAAAACTCTACAGAAAGAAAATCCGTTGGTCCCCCAAATTCCAAATACACTAAGTGTGTATTTTGTATCGTAGTATAAGTGGTCAAAAGTTTGTATTGATGGGATAGATTTGTTGTAATGTTTTTCTAGAAAGTAACAAAGTGACTTGGAAGTCTTAAATCTATTACATTAATTAAAGACTGATCATAAAGTATGTGCATATGTTGCGATAATAATTTTTTGGTTTTTGCAACCCTATTTTTTAAGATGGTCTGTATTAATTTGATGTTGTCTTCTCCATCAATTTTTTTTGGTTCAATTATATAGCTAGCAACATAGCACCAAAGCTTTCTACCCTTGAGAAAGCTAGACATATCTTGAGCCCATACAGCATAGTTAAGTCATTCTATAGCAATGTCAATTGGTATCATAACTCATATTTCACCTCCTGTTTTCAAATATATTTTCAAAAAAGAGGGGAGAAAATACAAAAATATTAAAAAAAATATTATCAACTCAATTTGGCTAATTTATGGTAATTTCATAATTTGACCTTTTTCCTAATTATCATTATTTATATTGATAGAATTCTGAAAATCTTAAATTGAAAAAAAAACCCAAAAGTAAAAGAAAAAACAAGGAACAACAAAAGAAGTTTAATGAGTGGAATGATAATCAAGTAAGAATTGAAGGGTAAAAAAATACAATGAGAGGATTAGAATGAAAAAGGAATCAAGAATAAGCATATTTTTAGCTAGGGGATGCAAGAAAAACCCTAATCACTGTAGACAAAAAAAATAAAAAAGAAAGAGAGGGAGGAGAGAAATTTGAGAGGAAAAAAAATTGGAGAGAAGAGAAAAAAGATAAAAAAAGAGAAAATTAGAAGAAGAAGAAGAAGAAGAAGATATCTTGAAAGAAGAAGCAGAAAACCATGAAAAAGAAAGGAAAAAGGTAAAAGAGAAGAAAAACCTGCACAAATCTATCTGTCTCTCTATCCTCAGCCCTATGAATTATTGTTCCCTCTCTCACCAAGCACCGACAACCTAGCTCTACGTTGTCGCCATCATCACCCGATAACAGCAGTAACATCAGCCCACCGAAGCTCCTCTCCTCTTTCCTCTAGCCCCTCCGTTGAACAACACATCCCTACCACTGCCTCCATTTCTGCACCACGCCATAGTCCACCATCACCAAAGCTCCTCCACCAGAGTCATTGTCCACATTTCCACATCTATGGCAAGAATGGGAGAGAAACCAAGAAAGAGAAGAGAAGCCGCTATCCGCCGAATGACATCATGGCTTACGGAGTTGCTTGTTCTAATAACGATCTGGTCCCTTCTTAAAGCTATACAATTTTGTCTTTATCATATTTTAATGGAAGGTGGTTTATTTGCAATAAAATTTGTCAGATTCCAAAATCCAAAGCACCTGCTTTGCTACATATATAGTGGTTTATTTTTAATTGTAAACAGTTTTCTTTGGTTTATGATTACAAATACAGATCCATGTTTCATATTTCAACTAATGAAAAATCACTATTTTACTAGAATATGACTTTCACACTTAACCCCCAAACATATTCCTACCCCAATCTTATGCACTTATACACAGAAAGCCACTATTGACCAATCGAATACCAGAAGCCGAAATGCTTTCTTTCAGCTATGATGCGATAATTTTGCACACCATTCTCTTGCTCATGCACTGTCAAGGTAACCCTGTCTCCTTGCCTAAGCTTTTTCTGATGAACATAGATGCTCCATTGACCAGATATCCAAGGTTTTGGATACCTTCCATTCTTGCGAACCGATATCTTCAATCTCCAAGGTTGGTCTAACATGTCAAGTGCATCAAACTCAACTGAATTTTGACCAGCGGGCAAGGAGAAAGCCCACAAGCTCTCGGTCGGAAATTCAAGTCGTTTATTAGTTGTGTCGCTTCCCGATAACAGTTTGGCCATCACCTCCATTTCTAGGGTTCGGCTGAGGATGGTTAATTTGAAGAATTTCAAGGAGGGATAATGATAAGGGAGTTGTATTTGTGTGTGTGTATGTATGTATAGTGTTATTTATAAAGATCAAATGGAGATTTATGAACCTCAACCAACCCAATTATTAAGTTTTAGAACTTGGATTGGGATATGCATAGAAGTTACCGATGATCTTCGAAAACATTGTTCAGTGACCTGAGTTTTTTGTACTTTAAAAAAGATAGTGGAGTCCGGTGTCATGCAAATTACTTCAAACCCCTAAACTAAGAAGTTTCTTGGTAATGGGTTGGAAAATATGGATTGATTATTATATGATTATGAATGATTATTATAATTAAGGGTGAATATTAAATTGTTTTATAGGAGTGTTATAACTTAATTTTTGACAATATAAATTCACCATAAAAAATAAAATGAATGAAGAAAAAACATAGGTTTGGGTCAAGACAAAAATTGAAAGTCTTGAAGATTTAGTCGAGTGAAATTATAAATTTGGGGTTCAATTTTGATAGAATTTATAAGAATTGATAAGTTTGGGGACTTAATTAAACTTTTGATTTCTTCAATTAATGATATTGGAGGTTTAATTGATGAATTGATAAGTTTGGGGACTTAATTAAAGTTAAAATTAGTTTATGGAATAAAATCAGGGGCTTAATTGAAACAATATTAAATTTCAGAGTCAATTAAGGTGTCAAGGACTCTTTAGAAAATGACGCCAAGATCTAGGGGTCTAATCATATTTTTTCTGGGGCCTGTTTAGAGAATTCAGAAGCTTCAAGGACCAAATTGAGAAGGGTCATCCCAGCCAACAACGGCGCCGTTTCAATGCATTGTTCTTCTTCTTCCTCTAACACTGCAAATCCGTCTGAAAAACAGGGAAAGAAATTGTGGAATGCCGGCATCCCACAATGTTTATTCTAAAATCCAGGATAAAGTTGTTTGTAAATGGCTGTCCAGGAATTGAGTTTCAAAATTGGGTGAATCCACCCGTCCTCTGCATTCTGATACAACTTGAGTTATTCAACTGCACGAATTGCAAAAGCCTCCCCGCACTCGGGGAATTGCCGCTGCTGCAGTTCTCTGTATCCAAGTAATGGATTCTGTAGTGAACATCGGCGATGAGTTCTAAAATTAGGCTGGTAGGAGCTACATTCTTTGCCACATGGTTTGACAAATCTGACCTCTCTGGAGTCCATGGAGATTATCGATTGTCCTAAGATAGTCTCCTTGCCAGAGGAAAGCCTAGAAGGATTGAGTTCGCTGCGATCACTCTCCATTGAGAATTTTCACAGCTTAGCTTCCCTGACGAGTCGGATGCAACATGCCACAGCCCTGGAACGCCTAACTATTATGTATTGTTCAAATCTGGTGTCTTTGTCAAATGGCTTGCAACATCTCTCTGCACTTAAAAGTCTAAGCATTTTAAGCTGCACAGGGCTGGCATCTCTCCCTGAGGGACTACAATTTATTACAACATTGCAAAACCTGGAAATTCATGACTGTCCTGAAGTCATTGAATTACCAGCATGGGTGGAGAACCTAGTTTCACTTCGATCTTTGACAATCTCAGATTGCCAAAACATCAACTCCGCGCACTCCAACATTTGTCCATCAGAGGTTGTCCTCAACTCGAAAAACGATGTCAGAAAGGGAACGGGGTGGATTGGCAAAAAATATCTCACACGCCGTATAGTTATGTTGGATCATCAACATTGCAGCAGAGACGTGACAAATGCTAGCAGCTCTTCAACTTCATAGGCACACCTCTTCGAGGTCTTAACTTGTGTAAATTTTCTATTCCAAAACGCACTTAAACATTGAATAATCAATAAATCTTAAGTTCTCTTGCAACATTTCAGGTCCAATACAATTGAAAGGATGTTCTTTATCCGAAGCACCAAGAATCCGTCCCACAAGGGGGTACTCTGCTCTGTCATTTACTGGTATTTGTAAAATACAAACTAAGGTACATTTTTCTATTGAATGTTGCTTGGATTTGTTGCAAGTCAAAGGGTTCCAGTTAGTGCGTTTGTTCTTCAGAGAATTCAGTACCTTGTTTTCAGCTAGTGTAACATATATTTCATGAATAACTAGAGCACTCTGTCATTACATCCTCTTGTAACTTCACTTTCAATAATTGTATATAAGAAAAATAATAATTGCCCTTGTTGAAAGGAAAAAAGAACAAACAAAAGAAATCTCAAATGAAATTAACGTTAGAGTATTAACAGTTGCTAACAGATGAGGAGAAGATCTTACAGCTGCCAACAAATCAGGAGAGGATTCCAAAGATTCTGCATCAACTACCTGCCTATAGAATCGCTAGTCTAGCTAGCTTAAAATTTAAGTAGCTTGTAATCTCTAGTTTATTCTCCTTCAATTACCCGATTATTGGTTTGTTATTTGTGTGTGTGTGTGTGTGTATAGACACACACCCGAGTAAATAGAAAGGAGAGTAATCAAGTCATTCTTTTAAAAAGTGTATCTGCAGAATTCTATTTTACCATATTTTCTTTTGTTTAATCTTTCATGGTATTAGAGCAATAAGCAAACGCCTCAATCGTTCCAACACCTTCCACACAAACATCTTTCTTATTCTCTTTATTCATACTGTATTCAACAAATTCCATGACTTCCTCTAATCCTATACATTTTTCCTCGCCTTCTACTTATCATATTCAGTCCATCTCACAACCCGTCAGCAAAAAAACTTGGAGGATACAGTTACTTGACATCGAGTGTTCGTTTCAAGTTTTTCTTCAAAGTCTTGATCTGAATGGTATGATTGACGGTTCTAAAGAAGCACCGTCCAAATTTCTTTTAGTTGAATCTCCGAATCCGGCATATGCAATTTGGTTCAGAAAAGATAATTGTGTTTTAAGCAATTGGTTGATCATCATACTGCTGCAAGCCAACTTGTGGTTAATCAGGACTTCATCACCTTTTTACTTGGTGGCCTTCGTGCCACCTATATTCCATTCATTACATCTTATAATTTTGCCTGCAGAGAAAAGGAATCATCTCTTGATGATTTTCAAAAGCACTCTAATTATAAAAAAAGGAAGCTTGCAGGTACAATTACAAAACTTCAACAAATTGTTGCATCAGCATAGCCCTGCGGCCCTCCCAAACTTTACTTCAACAATGATCGTACAGCTCCACATGAATGAACAAAACATCAGATTTGTGCTAAGCATGGTCATTTTGCTTTAGATTATTTCCAGCGCTTTAATTTTTCTTTCCAAGACAGGAGACCACCTTCTAAGTTAGCAGCCATGGCTGCTGAAACCAATAGCACCTATGAACATCAAACTTGGTATGCAGACAATGGGGCTAATGCTCACATTATTGCCAATGCAGCAAATTTAACAACTCTTCAACCATATGATGATCTTGAAATTGTCCAAATAGGTAATGGTTCAGGTTTGATAATAAAAAACTCTGGCTTTTCTTCTCTATATACAGATCATACTTTCTTTCGGCTAAATAAAAAATTTCATTGTCTTCAAGTTACAGCTAATTTATTATTCATTAACCAACTTTTCCTTGATAATGACTGTTATTTTATTCTTATTGGGATTGATTTTTGTGTTAAGGAGAACAAGACAAACAAACTACTACTTTACAGGCTAATTAAGGATGGACTCAATCTAATCAATGGGAACAAGAATTACATCAATAAATGCTGCTGTCTAACTTCCAAGTTGGGAATAAAAGCTACCAGAGATCAATGACATGATCGCTTTAATTGGTCATCCTGCTAATAATATACTAGAGTATTTATCTTCTTTCCTGCAAATAAAAGGCTAGTAAAAAAAGTCTAGTATCTGTTGTTATTGCCAACTACAGAAAGCTAAGAGATTACATTTTAATGACTCCAACAGACAATCCACATGACCTTTAGCCTTAATCCACATTGATATCTAGGTATCTCTTGTCGCTTCAGTTGGAGGTTGTTGCCATTATATTTTATTTATTGATTACTTCAATCATTTTACATAGATGTATCCCACATGTTTCAAAAGTGATATTCTTTCAATTTTTCAAAAATATAAAGCTCTTATTGAAAATATTTAGGCAAAAAATTGCAATCTAATAATGACAGAGAATATTTATCTAAGAATTTTCAAATATTTTTAGCAAAAAATAGCATTTTTAATCGATTAACATGTCCTTATATGTCCTAGTATAGCCGAACGAAAACATAGACATATTCAAGAAATAAGATTAACTCTTTTAGCAAAAATCGATCTTCCTAATTGTTATTGGATAAATGCTTTTTTGATATCAATATACTTGATCAATCGCTTACTGATCGAAACTCTTAAAAGGCTATCACCATATTTTGTGCTTGATAAAACCATGCCTTGTTATTCTAAACTTCAAACCTTTAATTATGCCTGCTACCCTTATCTTAGACCATATGAAGATCATAAATCAGCTTCCAGAAATAAACAATATATTTTTATAGGATATTCAAATCAATAAAAGGGATATCATTGCTTAGAATATAGCATAAGTAAAGTTTTTATTTCGAGACATATAGTCTTTGATGAAAACACATTCCCTAACTTGGACAGATGTCAATCCTTTACCAGCCACACAAGCAATCAATTTATCAATATGTCATCTCTACCTCTGTCATTTCCTTTACCTTAAAATGTTCAAAACTTAAATGTTCTTCCAAGTGTTTCACATTCAGAACTCATACATCAAATAACTATGTTACTCGAGCATTCAACTTTACCAATACTTGGTACACCAAACTCCATGTGTCCTACAATAGAAACTGAATTACCTGTAACCTCTCCTCTACCAATAAATAATCTCCATACAAATATTCCTTCTAACACTCACCCTAAGCCATATTTTATTCAATCTAGAGAAATTCTTACCAAGTCTAAAACAGGTAAACTCAAAACTAAAGAATTTCCTGGTTTTAAAACAATCCTTGTTACCCATCATTCTTTGTATGTCTTATCCAGTATCATTATTGAATCCAAACATACTTGTATTACAAGGACAATAACTAAATCAATATAGCGAGTAGCAATCAGTTGTTATTTTGTGCTTGATAAAACTATACTTTGTTATTCTAAACTTCAAACCTTTAATTGTGCCTGTTACCCTTATCTTAAACCATGTGAAGATCATAAATCAGCCTCCAGAAATAAACAATGTATTTTTATAGGATGTTCAAATCAATGAAAGGGATATCATTGCTTAGAATATAGCATTAGTAAAGTTTTTATTTCGAGACATGTAGTCTTTGATGAAAACACATCCCTAACTTAGACAGATGTTAATCTTTTACCAGCCACACAAGCAATCAATTTATCAATATGTCATCTCTACCTCTGTCATTTCCTTTACCTTAAAATGTTCAAAACTTAAATGTTCTTCCAAGTGTTTCACGTTCAGAACTCATACATCAAATAACTATGTTACTTAAGCATTCAACTTTACCAATACTTGGTACACCAAACTCCATGTGTCCTATAATAGAAACTGAATTACCTGTAACCTCTCCTTTACCAATAAATAATCTCCATACAAATATTCCTTCTAACACTCACCCTAAGTCATATTTTATTCAATCTAAAGAAATTCTTACCAATTCTAAAACAAGTAAACTCAAAACTAAAGAATTTCCTGGTTTTAAAACAATCCTTTTTACCCATCATTCTCTGTATGTCTTATCCAGTATAATTATTGAATCCAAACCTACCTGTATTACAAGGACAGTAACTAAATCAATATAGCAAGTAGCAATCAATTGTAAATTTGATGCATTGATGGCTTGTGGGACATAGTCTTTTTGTCCAAGGCCATTGAATAAATACGTTGTTTGCAACTATTAGGTTTATAAGATTAAAAGAAATCTTGATGGACATGTCAAACGCTACAAAGTAAGGCTTATAGCTAAGGGGTTTGATCAAATTTCTGGTATTGATTACCATGATACTTTTTCTCTAGTACTGAAACCTATTACAATATGGTTAGTTTTGGCTTTTACTTTCTTTTTAAACTGGAATATTAAGCAATTGGATGTTTCCAATGTCTTTCTACATAGCATTTTCTCTAAAGAAGTGTATATGAAACAGTCGGAAGGCTATGAAGATGACAATTTTTCAAAACATGTATGTCGCCTGCATAAATCACTCGATGACCTTATACAAGCCCTAAAGCTTGGTTTTAGCATCTCTCACAGCAGCTAACTGACTTTGAATTTTCAGAATCCAAGATGGATTATTTCTTATTTACATACAATACATACACTATACATATTTTTGTATTAGTGTACGTTGATGATATCATTCTCACATGTTCCAACAAAGAAGCAATCCACCATTTTATTGATAAACTAAAGAAAGAGTTTCAAGTTAAAGATTTGGGTGAATTGAGCTACTTCCTTGATATTGAAGCATTAAGAAATCTAGATGGCTTGCACTTGCAGCAGGCTAAATACATCACTAATCTACCAAACTGCATATGTATGATTGGTGCGAAACCTTTAAATTGTCCTTCTTCTTCTAGTATGAAGTTATCGTCTGCTACCGTGACATATGACATGATCCAACTGAATATCAAAGAATTATGGATGCTTTTTAATATTGCACCATCACCAAACCAGATATAGCCTATTCAGTAAACCAGTTATGCCAATTTATGCATTATCTTCGTTATATACACTAGAAAGTTATGAAATGTGTACTAAAATATCTAAAAGGTACTATAGATATTGCTCTTTATTATGTTCCAAGAGATATCACATTGAATGCCTATTATGATTCAGATTGGGCAGGAAATTCAGATAACAAAAATAGCATATCTGGCTATAGGATATTTATAGGCCACAATCTCATTTAATAGAGTAGTAAAAAGCAAGGGATTGTCTCTCGATCAAGCACTGAGACTGAGTACAAAAGCATAACTTGTATAATTGCTGAGTTGTATTAGCTTTGTA